CCGGCCAGCCAGGGGTTCAGTCCCGCCGAGGGCGCCGGCATGCGGACGCGGGTGGGGACAGTCTTTAAAGAGAGGAGGGGGCTGGTCAGGGGAGACGCGACGATGCGCTAGCGCACCATGTATTCCTTGCGCTTATTGAGCCGAACTTGGCAGAACGAGAAGCCTCCGAGGAGGAGGTAAAGGCCCGCGGCGATGAAACAGTTGTAGCTGACTCGCTCGTAAAGTTCATATATTTTCTGAGGGTCCTTCCTGGGGGTGGGGATTAGGTAAAGAAGTGTCAGAAGCATTCACAGCGGCCAACATTTCCTGGGCACTGTGTGCCAGGCACCATCCTAAGCGCTTTTACACGTATTATTCAAGCTTTCCTAACCCTATGGGGCGAGTTCTAGGATCGCATCCACCCGGCGGGAGAGGGACGGCGGCACAGGGCAGTCAGGTAAAATACCTAAGAAGCCACATCTGGACTGGTGGGTTTAGGAGGGCCGCTAAGGAGAAAAGCTCCTGGCACTCAGTTCTCTAGCCTCGGGGCCCAAGCATCCCGCCACCCGCAATCCCCCCCGCCGACAATTCACAGCCTCAGCCGCCTCCCACCTGCCCCCAGCCCCGCCTCTCCCACCTGACTACTTACTCAAAATCTTTCTCGGTGAAAGGAACGTCCTCGATGAGCACAGCGGAATGGACGTTGAAAAAGATTCCGAGCATTATCTGAAAAGAGGCAACGGACAGGTTTGCTGAACCCAGGCACCAACCTGATCACTCCACTCCCTAAGCCCCTCCCACGTCTACTGTTGCCACAACGTCTGGGTCTGGGAGCTACCAGAACGAGCTGGGGTTGGGGTGGCTGCTGCTGGATTCGGACTCAGTCACCAGGATTAGGGCGTGAGCTGGTGAAAGAGACGGCTTGGCTGGTGCAAGGGCACGAACAGCGAGCAAGCTAGATTATCCTCCTCTCCAGAGGCGTCATTATCACGGGACTGGGAGGAAGGGGTCAGGGGAAATCAGCCCTTCCGAGGATTTCTTCCTAGAGTGGGGCGGGTCATCCTGGGGAAACAAGGCCCCAGCTGCCCATTTCGGGAACAAGCGCTCCCTTTCCCCACTGCCCTCCACTCAGCACAGGCATCTCTCAAGGACCCAGCTCTTCTCCCTCCTACCTTGAGGGCTCTCCAGATTTACCAGCCGCGGCTCCCGTTCCCAGCTCCAGCTCCCCACCCACCCCCGCCCCGCTCGAGTTCCCCATTTCTCCATCTCCGTTGTCTCGTTCTCCAGCGGCTAATCAGCCACCCCCTCCGGCCTGCCTGCTGCTAGTTTCTAAGGCCCGCAGTCTCCCAGCCTCCCAGCCCTCCAACACCGGGGCCCCTCGGGCCCTGTCCGGCCGTCGGCGGGCGGTCCCCTCACCAACATGATCACTCCCCAGGCACTGAGGACGATGCCGCAGGCGGCCAGCTTGGGCCCACAGCACAGAAGCGACGCCATGAAGAAGGGGGTCGGGGATCGCCTAGCTGCGGGCCGACCGAGCGGGAAGGCGGCGAGAGGAAGGCCCGGATGCGCCCGGGGCGAGCGAGCTGGACTCGGGGGCTCGCGCCGCGGAGAACCGGCCGCCGGGAGCGCCGCCAAGGGGGCGTGGCCTCCGGCCCCAACCATAGCGCCGGGAGGGGGGGAGACGCAGGGCGGAGACGGCGGGGCGCCCCCGGGTCCTCCCGGATCTCCGGCGGGGGCAGGCGGTGGGTGAGGCCGAAGCAGCCCCTCAGGAACCCCTTAGAACCCATGTAGCTGGGGCGCGGTATTGCAGGAGCAACCGCTCCCGTTTCTTGTCCCCCCCCTCCAGGCTGGAATGGAAGGATCCAGCACGTCACGTGAGCGGACCGGGCAAGTCAGGTGACGAGGAACCCGCAGTAGCCGGGCCTGGGGAGGGCGGAGGTGTGGCGGCCTTCTGGTTACCCTGGCGATGGGCTCCTAGGTGCGGAGGATCGGAACTAGCCCCCTTCCCCTCCGATACCTTAGTTTCGGGTGGTGGCCTGTGATGGGGGCCTGGTAAGTGAGACATGCAGATGTCCAGCGAGAAAGAACGCCCCTGTCTCCTGTCTTTTCCTGCCTGCTTGAAACAGAGACTTCCCGACCCAGGGAAAGGAGGAGCCCCTTCCCGAGGCCGAGCGCGCAGCCGTGGTCAGACGCTTTGCAATTGCCACGGGCCCCTAGCACCGGGAGTGCCTCGTGAAGTAACATTTTGTTACCAAACGTAGAAGGCTGAATCGTTTTGGAGGCCGAATCCGGGAAAAATGCGGGCGCCGGGAAAAGTGCGGGGCGGGGGCGGGGGGGGGCCGACCCAG